CGTGATAAATAAGTGATTTGATAGGGCAAGGGTGTACTTTATCGCACTTGCCCTAACCAGATTTGTTCTTGTTTATCGATTTCACTTGACTTGCTCTACATGCATATGAATTATATCTTGCCTGGAATTCCAGAAACCCTGTGGCTAGTTAATCGAGTCAAGCCGGTAAGGATCTGGTCGATTAGATAACGAACCCTGGGTAACTAGTAATGTTGAGTGGAGTGTTATCTCCTCGGCTAATCGGTATACTCGAGTATTACCACCCGTGTTTCATGTGGCGTACGGGCCCGGATAAGGGGGTTGATCGGTGGACGGAGACTGGCGTGAAGTGGGGCCTTATTTCTGGACTAGTTTATTACTTGAAAGTTGACGGAGTGTCAACTACTAATCGATCAAGCTGGGATGGAGCCGAGACATGAGCCACTGTATCCTTACATGTGAACATGATCCATATATTTCTTGACTACCTGAAGTATTATCTCTCTGATTTGACTTGCTTGCTCGCTATTTCACTATCACACTGCTATTACATTATTTGATGGCCAATTTGATATTTGGAACTTCACTGAGCTTTGGCTCACTCCGTTAGTTTTGTTTTCCTTATAGGGGTACGAGCGAGGCGTGAGACGTGTAAAGACTAGCGTAGTCTAGTTGTTTTGACTTTTGACTTGTACTCGCGCTATTCCTTGAATATAATGTTTTGTATTTGGATTTTGTACACTTTGAACCAGTTTGGGTATAGTGAGACTTTGTATCTTGATTGTGCATCAATGTAAATTATAAGCTTGAATTGCGATATTATTTATGGTCCTTGGATGTATGCACGTGATACGAATGAGTGAGTCCTGGCGAGAGTTGGGCAGGCGGTCCGCCGAACCCTTTGGTACGCCTTAGGGGGAGGTGGGGTCGTCACAGGCACAGAGTGAGCGAAACATGCCACCCCCTAAAGCTGGTCATGGAGCTGGAGGTGGAAGGTTTACGAGCACATCCAGGGGAGGTACTCCGAGAGGAGTCCAGAGTGGAAGAGGACAGAGGAGAGGTGTCCCACAGGGAGGCCAGACATCCGCCCCCTGAGTATCGTGTGGGTATTGTGGGAAATCGAACCATACCGAGGATAATTGTGAGGACTCGCAAATTTACTTATTTTAAATTTCTATTACTAGCTTATTTAAATATTTAATTGTCCGTTTGCTCCGAATATTTTATTCCAACCTTTTTAGACCCAATTACATGGAACTATGACTTACATATATTTTTAAAATGACTTGTTTCAAAAATTAATTTTTGGAACCCCGTTTAGTGAGAATAACGAATACGCGTTTGGAGGCAATAATTGATTTGAGGGTACAGTGAGTTTGGAGATTGAAGACTCATATATTAGTCTTAAAATACTTATTTTTATGTTTAAATAATCAAGTATTAGTTAGTAATACTATCGTTACAAGAATTCCTTAGAAATTTCGCTTTATCGCGCACAAATCGGAAGTACGCATTTTCGCACGTGCGATTAATCGAGGGACTTAAGGCCTTTATTTTTAAACTATTAAGAGTGAATAATAATAGTATGGATGGAAGTGCATTAGATGTTTAGTGCACAAGTGAAACAAACCCAAGAGAAAACGAGCACAAAACGCGCGCGTACGCGCACTATTCTTAGTTGATTTTTGGGGAAATTTGGGCCACAAATTCTTAAGCTTCCAAGAGAAGCTTTCCATCAGCCACAACTCTCTCTTTCTCTCCGTCAAGCTGCCGTACAACCCCAAGGAGAAGAAGACCAAGTTTCTTCATCATTTCACCTCTCAATCTTGCACCAAATCCTCTCAAATTCATACCACAACTAGCAAATAACTTGGAGATCATCTTGGGCTTGGAGAAGAGCTTCATTCTCACGGTTTTCTTGGAGCTCAAAGGGCCAAAAATTTCTGGTTTAAGATCATCTAGGAGGTATAAATCTTTGCTTTTGTAAGTTAAATTGCACTTGGGAGTTTATAGCTTCATGTGGGTACCTCTATACTGTTGAAAATCATGTGAGTGGGCTCTATGAAATCCCACATTCGACTTGATGAACTGATGTGATGATATTGGGTGTTGTTTATGTTGATTTAGTGACTAAACTAGTGATTATAAGTTGAAAGGTGGAAAGAAAACTCAAGGGAAACAAAAGGAAAGAAGGGGCCGGTTCTGCCCGGCCTTTGCTGCGCCTCTTGGTGCAAATTTTTGTGGTCCAATTGACTTGATTTTGATGTAGATATATTGCATAGGTTGTGTGGAAAGTTCCACTAAAAATCACTTGATTTGGTTGGGTAAATGTTTGGATTTCGAAAATTTTTCGTGGCTGGAAACATGTCCAGAGTTGCTCTGGCAGCGAATTACAAACGGCTATAACTCTTTGCTCCGATGTCAAAATCGAGTTCCGTTTCAAGAATTAGAAACTAGGCACTTCCAGTTTTCTAACGGTATAAAATACATCCCCTGATTTCACTTGAGTGAACCGTACCAGCCTTTCAAAGTCACCTGCCCTGTTTCTTGGTTGTGTTAGAAAACCTGTTATGAGCTGCAATGTTTTGCTGGAAAATGAGCTAGTTATGGACAGAATTTCACAATGATTTCTTCTGAGAAATTGTAGCCTTATGAATGTAGTTTCCAACGCCACAAACCACTCTCAATTCCAAGTTGTATTAAGTGAGTTGTGGCCAAATTACGAAACTGTCTCAGTAATGGAAAACCCTCTTTTTGGCTAGTTGAATTCCTTAATTTGAATTGGGACTAGTTATTTTGAAATTCTTTGTGCGAACCGCCTACCAAAAGTATCTTGGATATTTATTAGACCTTGTCTTCATAAATGAACCATGTTTGAGGTGATTCATTGACCCAAAAGTTAGAAAAGGGAAAATGAAGTACAAGGCAGATTTGCCTTGGAAATTCTTGAAACTTTAGTGGCTTTGTTAACTGACTTTCCGTACGAATTTTTATATGAAATTTGACAGAGGAATAGACCTTATATGGTAGGGTAATACCACCAAATTTGGTGCCATTCCAAGTCCATTTCGATGCTCAACCAAAGTCTTAAATTTCATGTTTTAAATCTGGAAAACCCTTGTCCAGTGAGGAATTTCAGCAACTTTGAGCTGCTATATCTTAGTGCTCAAAACTCCGATTCTTGTTCTTCTTGTTGTGTTTTAAACTTTGATTGTAACTCTAATTGAGTTTCAAATTTCAAAGGCTAGTTCACATTCTGTGAATTTTTCCGAATTTCCAAAGTTAGCCAAAAACCAACCTCGAAACTGTCTTGGTATTCCAAAACAGCAACTTGAAGCCGAAATTTGAATGTCTTCCATTTGGAATCATGAAAAAGTGCCTTCTAGGAACTTTTATTACTTTGGAAGTAGTTTCCAACGGTACCAAATTTTCCAATTTTGGACTTTCGGAGAGTGAGTTATGATTTTTCAAAGATTGCTTGTTAAATCTGAAATTTCCTAACTTGAAGGAAATTGAGTTTTTAGAACTTGCCATTTTTCCTTAGATATTACCTAGCCGTTTACACTTGATTTCAAAGATGAAAATCAGATTTTTCTTTTATTATTAAGACCCCACTTTCGAGCTTCGATTTGCGAGTAATTAAGGCTCATTTTCATGATTTCTTCTTAGATTGTACAAGAGTGCAATCTTCCTCAATAATTAGGAGTTTTAAGCTACAGTGTGTAATAGTTCATTATTAATTGCTCAGGCACTCAAGAGGATCTTCGAGAGAATCCCACGGTGGACGCCTGAACCCTCGAGTGGACATTTCTCACTTGTTTCTTATTTTACTTGGTGAGTGTCAAGTGTATGCGAACTTGATACATGCTTAACTGTTATTAATGATTGGAGATTTTGAAAATGGAGTCGAGTGTGTACTTTACCGCACTCGTTCTCATTTAAAATGAATGACTTATGATTGAATTGATTGAAGTGAAATGAATGGATCATGAATGACTTGATTGAAATGAAATGAATGATTGAATGTATCGAATGCTTGAATATCATGAAATGGTATGTTATGGCTGCATACGTCGTGGAGTGAATCTCCTCGACTCACAAATATTACATGGGGGACGCCCAAACTCATAGGCCGACCTTGGGACTCGAGCCGGCATGGGTTTGGTCAGGAACCTCGGTGAGTCATGAGAATAACATGATAAGCTTGATCTATTGGAGAGATCTTGCTTGGCATACTCGTGGAGTATCGCCTTATAAATGACGTGCGGGCCCGGTGCGGTGTACGGTGGACGGACATGAGAAGTAAGTGGAGTTCTACGGATTGGAAATATCGACCCGGTTGACCGAGAGTCATCACGGGAAGGTATACGAATGAGATTGGCAAAGCAAGTAGAAATTAGCTGCTGAGAGCTACCATATCCTTAAATTGTTTCTGTTTAAATTTCACTTGAATTGTTAATTACTCGAATATTATTGTTTGACTTGTTAATTGGGATTGTTACTTGGATAACGTGCTCGCATGTGTGTTCTTGGCCTCACGAGCAATTGCTCACCCCGTAGATTTATTTTTCTTAACAGGAATGGACATGGAGCGAAACTCGGAGAAAACCTTGGGATGTACATTTGTATTAGGGTTTAAATATAATCGACTAGACTTTTGGCAGTTGTATATTTTGGAAAAATTGATGTATTTTGAAACTCGTGGTGTAAGTTTGAATGTTATTTATGGAATCCGACTTATCTTTCTTACTTTATCTTGTCGTGATAGTTAGTATTGTATTAAGCTTGAACGGGATTTATACCGAGTCCTGGTGAGAGCTGGGCAAGCGTCCCGCAGATACCCTTTGGTTCGCCTTAGGGAGAAGTGGGGACGTCACAATAATTGCAAGAGAAAAGCTCGAAAATATTTAAGGTGTGGAAGTACGGAGCACCAGATTGCTAATTGCCCACTACTCAATGATGCTCCGTCGGCTGGCAAATCAATCCCTAAACCAACCAATGTAGGAGGGACCAGGTCAAGGATGCCAACCAGAGTGTATTCTTTGGACCAGCAATCGGTACCTGAACCATCGGAGGTAGTGGAAGGTACGATTCCTGTCTTCCATCGTTTAGCGAAAATTTTGATTGACCCTGGTGCAACCCATTCTTTTGTTAGCCCCACATTTATACTTGAAATTGATGTGAAAGCTGAAAGGCTACCATATGACTTAGAAGTAAGAACACCTACAGGTAATCAATCTTTACTTGCCAACGAAGTGTATAGAAACTGCGATATATGGGTTGGTGAGTGGAAATTAGTAGTTGACCTCATAAGCCTAGCTATTAAGGGGTACGATGTTATTCTAAGTATGGATTGGCTAGCTCATTATCATGCTAGGGTGGATTGTCGTATGAAGGTGGTCGAGTTTTGCATACCGGGTGAGGCAACTTTAAAGCTAGACGTGAGGGGTATGTTAGCCTTATCTGCCCTCATTTCGGGAATAAGGGCTAGGAAATTACTTAGTCATGGGGCACGGGGTTATCTAGCCTTTCTAGTTAACACTCCAGGAGAAAAGATTAAGTTAGAAGATATGTTGGTGATAAATTAGTATCCATATGTGTTCCCGGAGGAATTAGTGTCATTGCCACCTGAGAGAGAGATTGAATTTAAGGTTGACCTAGCACCTGGAACTACTCCCATTTCAAAAAACCCCTTATCAAATGGCTCCCGCTGAACTTAAGGAGCTAAAATTTCAATTGCAAGACTTGCTAGAACGGGGATTCATATATTAGAGCGAGTCACCTTGGGGCGCTCCAGTGCTATTTGTCAAAAAGAAGGATGGGAGTTTAAGGTTATGCATTGATTATCGAGGGTTGAATGCAGTAACCATTAAGAACAAATATCCTTTTGCCCCACATTGATGAGTTGTTTGATCGATTACAAGGTGTCGTGGTGTTTTCTAAGTTGGATCTTCGACAGGGATATTACCAATTGAGAATTAGAAAGGAGGATGTGCCAAAAATGGCCTTTAACACTCGATATGGGCATTTCGAGTTAGCGGTAATGCCTTTTGGCTTAACCAATGCCCCAGCGGCCTTCATGGATTTAATGCATCGGGTGTTTAAACTTTATTTGGATAGGTTTGTGGTGGTGTTTATTGATGATATCCTGGTGTATTCGAAGACAAGGGAGGAGCATGAACAACACTTGAGAATAGTGTCTCAAACCCTAAGAGAGCACCAGTTGTTTGCTAAATTTAGCAAGTGTAAATTTTGGTTAGAGAAAGTGGCGTTCCTAGGCCATATAATCCTACCGAAGTTAGAAGTTTTCTAGGTCTAGCAGGGTACTACCGCCGATTTATAAAGAATTTCTCAAAAATTGCGGGATCCCTAACTAACTTGACCGAGAAACAAGGAAAATACATTTGGGATACTAAGTGTGAAAATAGTTTCCAAGAGCTTAAGAAGCAATTGGCCATGGCTCTAGTGTTAGCTTTGCCCAACGGGAAGGTAGCTATACGGTTTATACCGATGCTTCAAGAGAAGGGTTAGGGTGTGTTCTGATGCAAAATAGGAATGTAATTGCCTACGCTTCTCGGAAGTTAAAGTCTCACGAGCAAAACTATCCAACCCATGACTTAGAGCTTGCGGCAGTTGTATTTGCTTTGAAGAAGTGGCGGCATTATTTGTACGGGGTGACATTTAAGGTATACACGGATCATAAGAGTCTTAAATACTTATTCTCTCAGAAAGAGCTAAATCTGAGACAACGTCGGTGGGTGGAGTTTTTAGAAGACTATGATTGTACGATTAATTGCAATCCAGGAAAGGCAAATGTTGTAGCAGATGCTCTAAGTCGAAAGGCTCAACTAGCAAGTTTAATGGTGGGCAAGTGGAGCTTGTTAGAAAATGTATATGAATGGAACCCTCGTCTGGAGCCGCGAAAAGTTATTTTTGGAAATATTGAGGTGAAGTCGACACTGTTGGATCAGATTAAAGAGGGCCAAATGAAAGAACCAACGGTACAGAAGTGGGTGGAAAGAGTGAAGAAGGGAGAATTGTCTGATTTAACCTAGGTCCTAATGGGATTTTAAGGTTTCGAAATCGCGTCGTTGTACCTAAAGAGAAAGAATTGAAGAAGGAGATTTTGGAGGAATCTCACCGTTCTAGGTATACGGTGCATCCCCGTAATGGTAAGATGTACCAGGATCTCAAAAGCCTGTATTGGTGGGTTAATATGAAGGCGGAGATTGCCCAATTTGTACAAAATTGTCTTACGTGCCAACAAGTGAAAACTGAACTGTGACGGCCCCACCTCCCCCTAAGGCGTACCAAAGGGTTCGGCGGGTCGCCTGCCCAACTCTTGCCGGGACTCAGTCATACCTCAATCAAATCTGAAATAAAACTACAAGATCAAACGAAAACAATCCAAAACTTAAAGTGAAACCTATATACATTTCGATCTCAAAAGGGAGTGCAAACATCAAATATACAAAGGTTCTCAATTCGTCATACATCCAGCCCATGGCAAAAGGTAGGGCGAGAACCATTACAAACATCTGAAACAAGTCTAGGCTAGTCCATACCGAGCTCTCGTCCTTGCTCGCCTTTCCCTGTTAAGAAAAACAAAACTAAAGGGATGAGCTAAAAACTCAGTGAGGTTCCGAACACATAATCAAACAATAAGTTCAATGCATTAACCATCAATAACCAATAATTCAAGAAATATTTACAATGGAAAGCAATACTAACACATTCATTAAAAGGATATGGGCTCACAGGGAGCCATTCGTTCATTCTCCTTTCATTCCCTTATTCCTCTAATCATTTGAAAATGCATTTCGATAAGTAAAACCCCTCATTTGCATTGACATTTGTTCGTTCATTTCATTCACCCCCTCCTGGACGTTGGCCAGGCTCCACCAGACTACAAGGTAATACTTGAGTATACCAAACGTTCACCCAGGATCACCAAATCGCCCGACCGAGTCCGCTTCTGGCTCGAGTCGACCGGCAACGAAGGGCAAGGGCCCAGTTCAGCCAAACGGCTTACATTCATGCGCAACTAGCATTTAATTATTTAATCATTGAAAATTTCACATTCATTTAGGTCGAGTGCGATAAAGTACACACTCGCCTAGAAAACTCATTTTAAGCAATCATTGAAAACATTTAACATGTTGTCATTCATTCATAACAAGCCATATAATCAAGAACAAGCTACATAGTCAATGAAAATTTAACAAACAAGGAACACTCACCTATTTACGCAAAATAACGTCCAAAATGTCCTTCCGGATAATACTCTCAATCACCAAGGAAGCCTAATAATAACCAAGGGAAAATATTACAGTTAAATCATCCAAAGTTTAGGTGAATGAAAGAAAATTTGAGTAACTATTAGTACAAAGGATAAGTATAGTTTTGGAAGTGAAAAGAGTACATTTAAACTAAAGAACATGAGTAAAATATTTGTAAAACTTATACTCGCTTGTAAAACTTTGAAATCTCCATTTGAGTCGAAGAAAGAAAGAAAATGTATGTTTTTATTGGTCGTAAATTTTATTTTTCCAAGGGTACAAGATTCGGCCGAAATCTAACTTTTATACTGTGAGAAAAGAAGACACAAATATCCTAGATGGTTCAAGTGGTATTCACTCTCAAGCCTTACTCAAGTCGCAAGTATATCTACCTAGTTCTCGGGCGTAAATTTGGGCAGCACGCCCTTTGTATTTACCTATTTTTCAGCCATTTATGGCTTCATTGTTTTCCTCAATCAACCCCAAAGTTACACACCAAATAATCTCATTTCAATAGCCGTTCAATAGGCTCAAGGTCATACAAGTACAAAACCAAGCTCACGACATGTGCGGAAATGAAGTTTAGCAAAAGACAGATTTGACGTTGTTTTGCGAAACAGACACAACCAAAGCTATGCTTATCGGATTGGGGTGAAATTTATACCGTTTCGAAGCTAAGATAAATTCCTACAACTTTGATGAAGATGACTCAGTCCATTTTGTAGTGTATCTAAGTCAAAATGTCAAATTACAGAACCAGAATCTCACACTCGGGCTAGTTAACCGCACTATACGTAAATGACAATAACTCTGGTTACCGAAGTCCAATTAAGACGTTTTCAGGGGTGTTGGAAAGCTAAGATATAGAACTATAACTTCTATGTTTTTGCCAAAGGCTAATTCAGTACAGATCAGGGTGAATAGATGCGGTCAGATTGGTGAAAGGTCAACGCTGTCCACAGGGCTCTACCTATGGCAGTCAGGGTATTTTTATCTTTTCATGAGCTACGATGCTCCGATTGAGATGAAATTTTGTAGGAAATTATAAAACATCATTCTATACAACTTTCATGTTTTATTCTAAGCCTAATTCGGCCTTCCTCATGGTCAACCAGAACCGGGTAGAACAGGGGAATAATAAAACTCAAATCTGGAATTTGAACTTTTCCTTTAGAATTTCATATCCAACAAGTATTCTATCATCAACCCACCAATTACTAACTCAATAAAATCCATTAAGAGGTAGCTAACCATAATCAAGGCTGAGAATATAAACCCTAGCTCCATATTCCAACATATCATTCCAAGCTAACAAATTTACCATCATAAGGCAAGAGTAAGAGCTTCTAATTAAACTTTAACAAGATTAAATGCAAGGAAAGGATAGGAAACCATAATAACTCACCAAAGCTGCTAGCAATAGAGAACCACAACCTTTCCCTCCAAAGTTTCACCACACAAAGGCTCTTAGGTACTAAAGGAAGGGTTTAATCGGTTTAGTTTTTTGGATTTTCACTCAAATTAAGCTAAAATCAAGATGGAAATTGAATGGTTTCTTCCCTCTTTTCTCTCTCACTCTCACGGCTGGAATGTGCAGAAATGGTGGCTGATTTGAAGCTTCAAGAAGGTTAAGATGATAGGAATTCATTTGGGTCAAAATTGGACAAGTGTCACCTTTTGATTGGAAGTCAATTTTGTTTCTTTTTCCTTGATTTTCTGGTCAAGAATTTCGGCCCTTTGAAGAAGATATTTAGGGCCAATTTTACTAAAATAAAAGTGAGAAGATTAAGGTAATAAAGTAATGTTCGAGTGGTGCACTCATCCGGTAATAAACGGTACCCGTCGGTTCAACCCGTTTTTCCTTAAATCGCGTATACCAGGGTTCTAACACGGTGAACTAGAACCGGGCAGAACAGGGCACTAAGGATTTTCACTTCTGGAATTTTGCAACATTCAAGGTATAATTCACATTTCTAGCTTAAAACCATCACTACCACCTCATATACAAACTTATATACATCATATACATCCACTCAATAAGAAATAGGGCTGAACAATACAAAACCCTACCTTACTAATGCACCCAAAATCATCACAACTACTTGTAAAGCTACCAATTTAATCAACACATGAGTTGTATAGCAACTTAAGCCAAATTTCACTTCTAATCATACTCTTAATATCATCTAGAACTCACTCTTAATCACCAAATTTGATCCACACTTCGTACCGAATAATCATACTATGAAAAGACGCGAAAACCCTAATTTATCGTAACGATGAAAGTAAAAAGGAAACCCTTGTTTTTATGATTAGTTGTAGCTATTGGGGAAGTGAATGTATACTACAGTTATTGTAAAGTAATAAATTCCAAATTAAAGGGAATTTTAAGAAAATATGAGGGGTTTTACAATTGCATAGATTACAATTATGGTTTCGGTTGAAATATGAGAAATTTAAGAAAACCGGCTAGTCACAAGCGAAAACTAGGGTTTTGATTAGACTTTAGGGTTTCTAAAATTTTGGGTTTCTAGTCTTTAAAACAAAACAATGTCTTAAACTAAAAATAAACTAAAGAAATCGTAATATCCTCTTTGAAACTAAACAACAATAGTATCCTAAAAGTTGGGGTATCACAATCTCCCCTCCTTAAAAGAATGTCGTCCTCGACATTCCAACGGGTACTAATCTAGTCAAAATAGTCCTCCAAAGTCAGTCAAGTACTAAAAATCACTCCAATCCCTTATATATGATCTTATCACTTAATAAAGAGCCAATAGATAGCTAAACAAGTAACCAAATAGAACATGCAAAAGGGTTCGGTTCAAACAACTGGCCCTGAGTGAAAATAAAGTCTCAGATATTTGAAAAATTCAGAACATGGCTTAGCCTCAAGTCAAAAATTTCTCAGGTCGAAAATTTTACCCCTGGCAATGCCTCACTAGAGAGTTTCAGTTCAACCGCTACAGAGGAGTAGTAGCCGGTCTACAACCACACGAGTACGAATAAATTCAAAAGCAAGGTCAAAGCAGGGTTCAAACATGTAAGTTCAAAAGCAGAGTCAATTACTTCAAGTTCAAGGAGCACGGGTACGAATAAGAACTCACCCGGCTAGCCTATGCGATGCCCCCACTTCTCCCAAAGGCGAACCCGAGGGTGTCCGCGGGACGCCTGCCCAACTCTTGCCAGGACTCGGTACAATTTCCCTTCAAACTTAAGAATAACCGATCGATACTAAAAGTCAAAGGTATAAAGGAAAGTCAATTCCTTAATAATCGTTCAAGTCTTACATCATAAGTTACCAAAATTGTGATAGCCCCACTTTCCCCTAAGGCGAACCAAAGGGGTTAGCGGACTGCCTGCCCAGCTCTCGCCAGGACTAACGGTGCAGTTTAGAGCGATCTATTGCGTTCCGGAACTTATAACGTGCGTAAACAAGTCAAACTGGCAAAATAACCCAAAATAAAATAAAAAAATAAAAAAATGAAATCCGGAGTCGACCATGAATAGTAACCGACCCGTCAGAACCCAACCAAATATCAAGCAAACATTCACATCTTGAAATTTAGCATTTACAAGCCAAAATGGCATATGAAAATTACTCAAAATTAATACATGTACGGTTGCCAAAATAAAAGTGAAAACGGCCCCAATGGCACATTTAGGGTTTCAATTCATAAACTATACAAAAGAGATATTCATCTAGTTCATTCGGCAACCAATTATCAAAAGTCATTCCAAAAGCAGTCAGATTCCTGTAAGGAAAACAAAAGGAA